ATAGATAGATAGATAGATAGATAGATAGATAGATAGATAGATAGATAGATAGATAGATAGATAGATAGATAGATAGAGTGAAATTAATGATGAATAGACAAATGTTAAATAGCAATTATAAGAATGTATATCTATGAATGTATTTGATATATATATATATGAGTATAGAGATAATGATGAATAGATAAATGTTAAATAGCAATTATAAGAATGTACATCTATGAATGAATTTGAAAGGGAAAAAAAATTTGCTTGGGAAAGGAATGCTTTTGGGGCTGTTACAGGTAGCTTTCTTGCTTGAATAGATCAGAGGTAGAGGAATGAAAATGGACACTCAGATATTTAAAGTATTTAACTTGTTCAATAAGTTTGCAGCTAATCATACATCTTATTGAAGACTTAAAACGTTTCTTAAAGTATACCAATGCTTTACTTTTAGAATTGTTTATTTCTAGCTGTTCTCCGGAACAGAAAAACAATAGAGTTTTCAGGGATCTTCAAAGGTCTATTTGGGTTACAGTATAGCTGTATAAAGAAAACCGGAGACGAAGTAATGGGTGAGAGAGAGACAGAGAAGATATAATTCGGGTTTAGCAAACTTCTCTAAAGTATTGCTAATGCTGACTGGGGAATTCTGAGAGTTGAAGTCCACAAGCCTTAAAGTTGTCAAGGTTGGACACACCTGCACTGGAGCCCACTTTATTTAACACCCATGACTGTGGAAATACATTCAATTAGGTTGCCAAGGATATATAATAGACTTTGAGAGATAGAAAGAAGTGCTGCATCTGAGACAATGATCGGATGAATTAAATCTGTGTCCAAAGCAGGAATGTAATTTGAGTAAGTGGTTCAGTATTGACACTGCCTAGTTCTCTGGAACATAAAGAGGGGGGGGGGGGTAGGCTCATTTACACCTACAATTTTCTGTTACTGTAATAAAAAGAGTGTTAGCATTCTTTCTTTCCAGACAAAATTATCCCAAAGGACTGACAAAATTTTACCCTTTACTTGAATAGCAATGCCATGATATAATAGAAGACAGTGGTTTACCAATCTATATAAATAAAAATGTAAATGTCCACTTGTTCAAAATCTTAAATCTCTGAAAGTTCTTCACCGATTGCTTTGAAATTTTGACACAACGTTGCATTTGAATACGCACGTGTTTTTATATACCNTTGTTGTTGTTGTTGTTGTTGTTGTTGTTGTTTTTGAGGGTTGCACTATCAGCCAGATGTTTAGACTGGCATTTCTAGACACCTATCGAGTCCTTTCCAAGAATCTAGAATAGGCAGATGTTGATGTTTGATGGTGTTAAAGGTATCATCACAGGATATAAGCTGCTCCAAGTTCAGTTGCTTTTATACACAGTACAAGTTTCATTTGGTTTATTCCCCTTTTGGTTTTTTTTTCTTATTACATAGATTCTCCACTTCACAGAACTGCCTCCACCCAAAATGTATGTTCTCATGACACATCATTGGAATGCATATATAATCATCTATTCTGTTTCTAATTACAATACACAGTCAATGATTTTTTTAAGAGAATGGAAAATGGTTAGAAAGTCTTTAATTCTCACATTGGGCAGAAATGATTGGAAATTCATTCCCTTTCTCATGAAAGAAAATGAGGGCAGGTTTCTCATAGGTCAGACATGGAGATCTGATTATCCATGTATGGTAAGCTTCTTTTTTGCTGCCTGCTTGGGATGCTCAAGCAAGTTACAGGCCATGAACTATGTTTAATGTGGTAAGTCAGATATGCTGGCATGGCATCTATGTAACATTCCTGATTATTATTTTTTTAAAGTTTGCAGCTATGTACTTGTCTCATTGTTGCATATTTCTCACATATTAATTCAGTGTATTGGGGCTATCAAACATTGCATTGCAAATTCAATTTTCAGGGAACTTCTTATCAGAAAAAAAACATGTAACTATTAGCATTTTCTTGTTGCTTTTGTTATCTACCTTAAGCCATGCCTCTTGATAAAATGGCTCACCTGTGATAGAAAAAAAACACACCATAAGGAGCATTATTCATGTTTACAGATTGTGCAAGTATATTCTGGGGTAAATTGATCAGATTTGCTAGACAACTGAATCGGAAGTTTTGTTCTCTATTTCTTTATTTCTTCAGATGATTGAGTGATTGCCTAAATTTACATCCCAGCTATAAGCTCGTGTGTGTGTGTGTGTGTGTGTGTGTGTGTNAATGGGGCAGCAGCGGTGGTGAAAGCCTGAGGCACAGCGGGGCTGAGGCGGCTGCTGGGGTACCCCATGAGGCGGCGGCTGCAGCGGCATCTCTGGATGGGTCTGTGGCTGGCGGGGCCTGCCTCGCTTCTGCATTGCCAGGGACAGCTCCTTCCTCCTCCTCCTCCTCCTCCTCCTCCTGCTCCTCAGGGGACGCCGGCTGCCTCCTCTCGCTGCTGCCACTGAGGGAACTGGGTCAGGGGCAGCAGCCACCTCCTCCTCCTTTCCTCCTCAGCCCAGCTGGGCCAGCACCTGAGGGAGGCATCGTTGTCATTGGTGGCAGTGTCAGGCCTTTCTCCAACCAACCCTAATGCAGCCGCAGCAGCAGCCTGACTCAGCGGTGGAGGCATGGGAGAGGAAGATGGCACAGCCCACGATGCTGCCTCAGTGGGCTGGTAGCAGCAGTGGCACCGGCTTGGGGGACTTCCCACCTGGTCTGCTGACCCAGCCGACGCCGCCTTCCCTGGCCTCCACCGGTGCCTCTGTCTCAGTCTCCTCCTGCCCTCCCGGGGTGCCTCCACCACAGAGCCTGGTGCTGCTCTCGCAGGGAGGAGGAGGCATCGGGGGTCCAGTGGGTACCCAGTTGAAGAAGAAGAGCAGCTTCCAGATCACCAGCGTGACCCCAGCGCAGATCTTGGACAGCCTCAGCTCCAACAACAGCATCACCAAAGACACGGAGAACTATGATGACCTGGACGAGTTGCACACCGAGGACTTCTCCTCCTCCAAGATCCTGGATGTCTCGCTCTCCTGGGCCACCGACTTGGGGGAGCCCGAGCGCAGCTCCTCCAAGGAGACGCTCAGCAACTTCCATGAGGCCAACAGCCCTGGCGCCATCTCCCCCAACCAGCCTTGCCTGGCCCAGCAGCCCCGAGGCCTGACCAATGGCAGCGCCCACCCACCACCCCACTATGCCCATGGAGACACCCCCAGCCTCCCTCCCAGCCTCCCTTGCAGGGGCCACCGTGGCTCACTTCCATGCGGGGGCCGCCTCTGCCGGGGGAGCTGTGGCTGGTGCAGCGAGTGGTAGGGCCCGCAAGGTGGGCAAGACCATCACGAACCTTGCCGCTGCTGGCAACGGCATGACCCTGCCTGGAGAGGACCACCCTTGAAATGTTTCTTTCTTCACATGCTATTGGTAAATGTGCCCAGTCCAACGTCTTTCCAGCAATTGAAAATTGTTTATCACATGGACAATTATAGGTTGCGTGTTCTAGAGTTGGCAAACCAGACAATCTCTATATCTGCACAGACAATGGAACAACAAAAAATATTGTATACCCAC